CTTTGGTTAGCATGAGTGTGAGAATTTCCCTTCCCAGCTAAAGACAAGCATTGAAATAATACACATAAAGCCTGGGAGAGGTCTCCTGGGGTGTCATTTTACCCCCTATTACCTGAGAATTAAGAGGATTCTAGGTGTATCTGGCTTGCAACTTGCCTGGAGAGGATCCTGCGTGCCGAGAGTGCAGAGGGATCGTTAATACAGCCCACCGAGGTAAGAGAATGCCGAATATGAGAACTCACGGCAGTGGTCTGGGAAGAGTCTGGTGTGAGAAGATGGGGTTGGTGAGGAGGAAATGGGCCTTTGGGCAGAGGTGCTGGCAACCCAAAACAAGAGGCAGCAGCCTTACAATTCAGTTTTCCTTTTGGAACAGCAGGCTCTGTTCTTGGTAAAATAAGCAGAAAACATAAATAATATACATTCATTGGAAAAATATTGGAAATATATTAGATAAGCATATAGCTTTGTATCCTGGCTTTGAAAAGTTTTATTATAACATATTCCATAGTCTTTGAATATGTTAATTCTTTGAACATGGAATTTGAAGTTCAAACTATGAAATCAGATTTAAGGGTTAAGAATCTTCTCCCATATTTTTGTCCTTCACAGTTGGTATGACCAATTAGAGCCTATAATTCCTTTTCCCATTGAGGGCATCAGATCATGGCACCTATATTGTCCCCATTGAAAGAAGTTTCCATGTAATCTCTAAGTAATTCCAACTTCTGTTAGATTACTCACAGAAACAAAGCCCAACTGGTAACCAAAATTCTGTATTCCAAATAGCCTCGTAAATGTGGGCCTTCATCCTTGTCTTTCAAAGCAGGAACCATAGGACAATTGGCGGTGTGCTTAGAAACGTCTTTGTAGTGGGTCAGTCTTGGGTATGTCCTGCTCTGCCCATGCTAGCTGTGCTGCTATGGGCTACTTATTCAACCCCCGAAAGCGTCATCTTCTCCAGCTGCAAATGGAGATAATCTCGGGCTGCTTTCAGGACTGTTGCGGATATTAAGTGAAATAATGCACACAAGGCACCTGGCCTAGTGTCTGGTGCACAGCACAGTCACTAACTGCCAGGCTGTGTTACTGAAGACAGGAACCTGTACTGGGATGGCATGGCTTTCCGGACAAAGCCCAATGCCTGGCATATAATAAAGGCTCAATCTGTGTCAACTGAAGGAAAGAAGATATCTTATGGGTTGCTATAGCTTGGGGTGGAATGAACAGAGATGGGGACACAGTTGTTTTTTAACCTCCCTATATTCTCCCCTCTTTAAAGATCCCAATTACCTCAAAAGAACTTTGCTTAAATTTCTAGTCTATGAAACTTTGTGGCTTAAACATGTTAATGAAATCTATGAGTGAACAGACAGAGATACAGATGCTGATACAGCTCCTCTTTTTCCCTTAAGGTCCCAACACTGGTTTTCCTTGCACATTCACTTCAGGGAAAATTTGGGCCTCCAGTTCTCATATTGGGAGAATTCAGTATTACAGGCATGTGAAGATCATGGGCTCTGTTCAGCACACTAGATCCTAAGCACCACAGCTGATTTAGACTAATGCATTGGGCCTTTTCTTTCCTTCACTGCCAATTATAGAAAAAGCCATTTGATACTTCTAAAATTCTGCAGGTTAAGGGTAAGATTTCTTGCTTTCCCTCCCCCCCCTGCCAATTTTTTTAATTTTTTATTTTTTAAGAAAACTCAATTGCAACAAGGCAAGCAGAAGAGCTGTGGATTTGGTGTAGCAGTAGATGGTGTTATTATTCTCTATCCCTCCGCAGAACTCAGCACCGCACAGGTGCGTGGGCTCCTGGAGGGCTTCCAGGTGGCTGGCTCTTGGCAGGATTTCCCCGTTCTATCTGGCATTCAATGCTTAGCACTGAGGGGGGAGAGGACCAGGGGAATTCAGAAATGGGGCAGGGCCAGATCCAGCATGGGAGAGATAGGGCCTGGAAGACGAGGCAATGACTAGCTTGAGCTGGGACTCAAGAAGGGGGTGTGCTAGGATGCAATTAGGAGCTGATACAGGGACTGGAGCAAACAATGTGGCTCTCTGGGCAGGGGGATCTGAAGGCATTACATCCCAACTGAGTCTGCCAGGATGCTACCTCTTTTACAAAGCCTGTCCTGAACCGCTGTCAAAACCCCCCTTGTTATTTATTTATTTATTTATTATTTATTTAAAAAATATATTTTATTGAATTTTTACAGAGAGTGACATGCATTTTTACAGAGAGTGACACGCATTTTTACAGAGAGTGACATGAATTTTTACAGAGAGTGACATGAATAAGAAGGGAGAGGGATAGAGAGTTAGAAGCATCGATCAGCTGCCTTCTGCACACCCCCCACTGGGGACATGTCTGCAACCAAGGTACATGCCCCCGACCGGAATTGAACCTGGGACCATTGAGTCCGTAGGCCGACGCTCTATTCACTGAGCCAAACCAGTTAGGGCAAAACCTCCCTTTTTAGAAGACTTACAGGAGACTTCTAACAATTCATTTAGCTTACGTACATGTACATATCCATTTCCCACCTTCTTAGTGTTGAAATGAGATGAAAATGGGCTAAGTACCTAAGACCCTGGCCTGAGACCTCTTATCCAGGCAGAGAAATTGCTCTTATGGTTTGATGGGGAAAGGGGAAAGGAAGGGGCTAAGAGGAGACAAAAACTTGGCCTGGGCCGTGTTGAGAGGAATCTGGGTCCCACACTGTTTCTGCTTCCACATTCAATCCCAGAACTGTTTTCCCATTTTCAAAGTGAGCAGCCAGGACCTTGAAAGGGTGAAGAGGTTTAAGGTGGGGCTGAGAATGGCTTTGTGAGACTCACCTAGTCCAGCCCTTCAGCTGGCCCTCTCTCCTGGGAGAGTATGATACTGAGACAGTGATGGGAGCAAACACTGTGACCCTCTGGGGGGGAAAGGGGGGGGGGCGGCGGCTGGGGGGGGGGGGGGGTGGTGTCTCCAAAGGGGACTTGCCTCTCTCGCAGAGCTTATTTGTGATGTCCTGGTAGGCAGGGCAACTGAGAAAGAAAAGGAGCAAAAGTTCAAAATGAACAAATAAATTCCTTGTTAGCAGAATTGATTTGGTGAGAATGAGGCCCAGCAGGTGGACTGATGCCTCTTTTGGGTTAACTAATGGCTTATTTTGAGTTCCCCCACACAAAGCCTGAACAAGGACTTGTATACAAGTAGTTTATTTTGAGGATGAATCCCAAGGAACAGAAGTGATGGACTCTGAAGAGACAAACAAGCAAAGAGGGAAAGAGAAAGGCAATCCAAGGGTGCATTCCAGAGTTGATCAATATGGATATTACCATGGGCAACTAACTGGGGCTCCATCATTTTAGGATAAGGTGACCAGACGTCCTGCTTTTGGCGGGACAGCCCCAATTTTTAACAATTTGTCCCCTGTCCTGCGGCGTTTTAAAATTGTTAAAAATCGGGACTGTCCCGCCAAAAGCGGGACATCTGGTCACCTTATCTTAGGAGCTATATAGGATGTATCTTGGAGTCGCCCACTAGAATGGAGGGCGAGTATTTCTCCACCAGCCCCTGCCTGCCTTGGTCAATGTTTGTCCCATGAGATATTTGTTCCTTTACACTTTCAGATTCTTGCAGGGGTCCCAGGCTGCAGTGACAGAGAAACCCCGAGGCAAGAAGATAGGAGGTGCAGCAGAGGCTAAGTTCTCTCTGGTTACACCTGTTTGAAGCTGGTTACCTCAGCAAAGCTGGCTGGGAAGATGAGGCCAGCCACAGGAGGAGTCGGATATAACCACAGGCAGTTCAATCCTCTTTTTCCTGTCGTCCAACAATAGAACTTTATTTCCACTTACTTCTCAGTCCTAAGTCAGGACCTATGGTTTTCCTATGTGGAATATGAATGCTCCTATAATTAGCTGCTCTTCCAGCAATGCATAATCTTAAAAGTATAGCCTGGTGACTCAATGTAGCTATTCGTTATTATTGATGGCCATGGCATAGAGTAACTCCTTGCAAACACTGTACTGAAGCAAGTATTCTGGCTTAAGTCTATCTGTGAAATGGGTACAGAGAACCAAGTGCTTTCTCCCTCCATGACTGTCCCAGTTTTCAGGGCTGTATGGGTCAGGAGCTGGGGATAAAGAAGACACAACCTTGAATAAACTCACGGATTGGAGCTACAGCTCTGCTAATAACGTGCCCGTATAACTTCCTTTCCTCCTCAGCCTGTTTCTTATTCCGGAGACTTGGCGGGGTGGGGCCGCCTGTTGGAAACTCTGGGAAGCTGTGCTATTCAACTATTTTTAAATACCCTTCAGAGCAAATCCTTATAAATACATTTCACCCGATCAAAAGACAAGTTTAAAAACCAACCGAGCCTGGTGAGCTCTAAAGACGACAGCAAGCACGCCCAGGACCTGGCAAGAGCCTCCCCCTCACCAGGGTGTCCGCACTTCCTGAAGCAGCACCTTCCCGGGCCTGGGCGGGTCCCCAGAGGGAGGCCGGCGGTGAGATCCACGCCCGGCAGAGGTCTGAGGCGGACGGGCTGCAGGGGACGCGGAGCAGGCAGCTGGCGCTGGAGGATTGGGGAGGAACGCTCCACCGGAGCCGCCAGGCCAGACGCCCCCCCAGCGCCCGGAGAGGTGGCGCGGGCGCACTCCCCGCCCCGGACCCGCCTGCGTAGCGGGAACGCGGGCGCCCTAAGTGTCTGGGCGCATCCGGGTAGCGGAGGCCACCGGAGGGCGAGCGGGCGGACGGCCGTCGGGAAGGAAACGGCGGCAGCGCCCCCACTCGGTCTGCAGAGCCCGGAGCGCGGGTGCCTGTGAAGCGTCGGATCAAGGCGAGTGCCTCCGCGGAACCCTCCCCAGGCAGGGTCCCTCCCATTTGGTTTGGGGTTAGGGGAAGGGCCCTCACCGGTTCCGCCGGGGTGGGGCGCGCCCGCGCCCTCCGCTTGATTTGTCCTTGTGCGGCCCTGTAGCCGGGTCGCCGGTTTGGGGTGGGGGAAGGGGGCATGAAGTCCTGCAGGCCGGCCCGGGGGCCGCGGCGGAGTGAAGGTAGGAGGAAGATGGACCGATCCGGCTCAGACCTGTCTCGGCCTCTGGCGGTCCCCGCCCGCCTGCCTCCCGGGCATTCTGTCCGCTGGTGGGAGCCTCCCCGGCGTTGTTGGGAACGGGGTGCTCTGCAGGAGGAGGCTCAGCTGGAACCTCGGCCCCAAGGCTCCCAGAAGAAAACCCTCACGACTCCTCGTTCCCTGCTGCCGCGTTTTACATTAGGGGACCCCGGCCCCAAGAAGGAAAGGAACCCGCCCAAGGTCACATTGTAGTCCTGCCTTCCAGCGCGGGCTGTGGGCACCGCGCCCTTCTCCACCGTGTGTGTCTCGGTCCCGCCCGGCGCCCCTCCCCATCCTGGCCATCCGGGAGGCTCTGTGGTCGCGGAGGTAGTGAGCGCGCCCTCCCTCCTTCCCTCCCTCCCGCGCCCTGGGGAGGGATGCTAGACTGAGGTCTGGCCGCCGGTCCAGCTGCCTTGGGAGGACAGGACGGACCACAGGTCCGGGGCAGTGGGAGGGCCGAGGGAGGTGGAGGCGCCGCGGTGGCAAGTTGGGGATGCTGGGGTGAGGGTGGCGGGGGGAGGATGGGGACGGGAGCTGAGGGGTGCGGGGTTCGAGTACAGTGGGGCTTGGTTTGGGCGGTGCCGCTTCAGCCAATGGGAAGGCGGCTCCGGCCGAGCCTCCCGGGTCCCCCGGGCTCCGCGGTCTTGCTGGCGGGAAGGGAAGGGGCCCTAAGATTGGCTGCTCGGCACCCGCGTGAGGTGCGGCGCCTGCGCGTATCCGGCGAGAGGGGCCGGGGTGCCGGTCCCTGTCGGGGAGGGGCTGGCGCTGCGCAGGTCTTGTCGTTGAGCTCCGCTCGGCCTTTTCCAGCCGGCCTGCCAGGGTCTGACCACGGTCAGCTGATGCAGAGTCACCGGCTGAGCCTGCGAGGGCACAGGCGGAAGAGCCGCCTTTCATCCTCCGCTGCCGGGATCCTTTATGACGTAGCAAATGCGCTTTCTACCCAAGCGTGTGATCCCGCCGCTGCAGAAGGCATATGCCCCCGGGCTGCGGGGGAAGCGGACCTTGGAGATGTGTGTAGCGTTCATATTCCCTCTCAATACACCTCTATAGAGCGCCTTCTTCCTGTCAAGCACCAGAATTTAGAAATCTGGAGAACCAGAAACCAATGCTACAACACGTGAGTCCTACCTGTGGGGCACTCATGATCCACATGGTGCCTAGTGGTTACCTGGGGGCTGTGGATGGCTGTATACAGAAATATATTCCATATTACCCTCCCTAGGAAAGTGTTGTTACTGAGGTACAGAAGGAAGGGGTGAAATGCTAACTTGGGGAGAGATTTTTATTTTATTTTATTTTTTTAGGGGATCAGGAAAGGCATGTTGAGACAGGTATTAATTTAAATCAGTTAGGACTTAATCAGATGAAGAAGTCAGATTTGGTATGGGATGAGGAAGGCCTGGAAATTGGAAAGTAAAGGGCTTGGTGAGGGTATAGCAAATGGTATAATTAGGTGAGAAAAGTATAGTTAAAGACAGAATTTGGAGGGGCCAGTGAGGATTAGAATTCCCAGCTTGTATACTCAGATTTGAAACGTGGTAAGTACTTATGAATTGAGTGGCCCCTTTATCTGTCAGTTTGGATAATGTCACTTGGACTATCTGCACCAACATCTTGAAAATATCTTTGATTCTTCTTTCACACCCTACATTTAGTCAGCAAACCATTGTAGGTTGTACTTTTAGATTCTGACCACTTCATTATGCCCCCATTATAATACTAAACTCACCTCCCTGGGGCGGGGATTTTCCATCAGTTTTTAATATGTAATGTATGTATAGGCATGTTTTCCAACTGCGCATGCGCAGGAATGTTCCCACCTGTACATGAGTTTTATTCATGATTTCCCAGAATAAAGAAGAATCTTATCCCTTATTTGGGCACATGCCACTTTGGGAAGTGAACTGCTGGTGTGCCCTTCCAATAAAGTTTACCCCTTTTCGTCAAATCATCTTGGAGTTGTCTTCTGGCTGGCAACTATTGAATAATTGGACTCGGTTCCCTCGGGTAACAAATCAAGAAGTACAGAGAGGGAGGCCCATGTTCCTGTTGCTGTTATAAGATCTACATCATGGCATCCTCAAATACGGAGCAAATTTAAAAATCAATAATAATGATCCGAGGAAGAACCTGCTTTCAGTGTGTTTCCGCCAATATTGTTTCAGCTGAAAGTAACAGAAACTTTAAGCTGCTTAATCAGCATGTACAGAGCTGGAGGACAGGAGGACAGCAGGTCCTCATAGGCAACAGGTCCTCTGTAAACCACTGGTTGGCATCAATTCAACACCAAGTTTGGGGTGGGGTGAAGAAAGAAACTTTATTCAGTGCAAGCAGCTCGATTGTGATACAACTCAATTATGAAGCAGTACAGTTGTTAGGAGGCCCCGGAGTGAGGCAGCCCTGGGGCCAGCCCCTCTCTGGTGTGGCAGCTCCACCGTGCTCTGGCTAAACATGTCAGTGTTTCAGCTTCAGCTGAGGAGAAGCAGTCTTTTTGTCTTCCGTGGAAAGGGAAAGTGTGCTTCCAGAGCCAAAAGGGAGCTGACTTATATAGACAGAAGTCCCCACTCCTGGTCCCTGATTGGTCTGACCTACTGCAAATGAGGACTCCAAATCCTTTCAGTTTGATTGGTCCAAGAGGCCCTGATGGGTCAGAATGGAGCAACTCTTATTGGTTAATGAAGGTGCTGATGGGGCTATAACTGCAGCTCTAGTTGGACAGGGAAAGCCTCAGTCCTATTGGTTGAAATGGGATTCCAGAAACTCCTTTGTAAGGGCTGGCCCAGAAGGCCAGAACAGAGTTCAGAACAGAGCCAGGTAGTTCAGTTCAGGCTTCTTCCTAACCTGCAGTTTAGATGAGAGGCCCCTGTGTAGAAATGGTTGCTAGGCTTTGTTCTGTGTGTGTGTGTGTGTGTGTGTGTGTGTGTGTGTGTGTGTTTTAATTGAGCCCCGTTAGCCACTGGAAGCCCTTAGTTGGTATTTTCTTTCTCAGAATCCACCTGCTGAAGGAGGCTCTGTTGTTCCCCCCCCCCCCCCCTCGACCCCTGTGCATGACTCTTCTCTCTTTCTCTGCAGATTGGCTTTCTGTATCTCTGTGGCATCAGGCCCCATGTAGCATAACTGTCCTCTTCTCCACTCCAGCAGCCAGGTCACATGCCCTGCCCTTCAGAGGCTGATTTGCATTCTTTCACAGTGCCAAGGGACAGAGTGATGGGTTCATGTTGGGTCAGTGTCTCTCCCCGACCCAGTATCTCATGGCTGGGAGGAGGTCTTATTGTCCAACTATAGCTACATGCGGGTGAAAGGCAGGTCTAGGAGGACAGGCATCAGGTGAGCAGGAGAGACCACTGCAGAGAGTGTTTGTGAAGTGGTCTCTGGGAAGAACTGGCAATCACCTACTAGTAAGTCTAATCTGGTTATTAGAGTGTCTCTCAGACTAATCCAAATGTTTATATTAGGTTTGCCTAACTAGGTTCTCTGTTAAACACAGGCACATAAGAGTCACCACAATATTTATGATAAAACTAGAGGCCCAATGCACGGATTTGTGCACATTGAAAGGAAATTAGAAGAAATATTTTAGAGGCCAGAGAAGGACTATGGGAGGTTGGCTCCAGGGGATGTCCGCCGGTCTCACCCAGTCCCAATCATGGCTGATTGGGGCCTGGGAGGGACCATGGGAAGGCTCCAGGGCATGTCCAGTCCCCTCTTGCCCAGTCCCAATCAGCTGGACCCCAGCAGCAAGCTAACCTACCAGTCGGATCATCTGCCCCTGGTGGTCAGTGCACATCATAGTGACTGGTAGAATGGTCGAACAAATGGTCGGACACTTAGCATATTAGGCTTTTATTATATAGGATGATAGTGAGAACAATGTCTACTATATCATTTAATGTTCCTATTGATAGATAGTGCTTTTAGACTTTTGTTCCACAATAGTTATTTTCTAAGGAATAACAGGCATCTTTTTTGAATGAGGGCTTTAAAACTTTTCAGGTTGCCTTTCATGTGGCCTTGATGGGAAATATAAGACTTTTTTGGGGGGCATTGAGGGGACTAGCAATCTGAATCTGCCAGTAACCTGCCTTCTAACACACACCCTTGCTAGCGGATATTTAACTTCATTGATGCCTGTCCTGTCTTGAAGAACCTATTTCCCAGAATACTCCCCTCTTACAAAGGGGCCATAAACTAAGAATGTAACAGCTTAGCTAGAGGGGAGGTCACCAGCACCACCCAGACCAGGCATTTAGACACAGTGTAATGTCCCCATTTTAACTGACTCAGGAGGGGCTGTGGAAGCCCACCACAAAAGCCTGGTAGTTAGGAAACAGGTAGAAAACAAAGAAACCAAAGAGTATAAAAGGAAAGCTTCCTCCATATTCACTCCCTCAGGATTTGGAGAACTGATTTCCCTGAGTCACTGTACTAGTACATCTGAAAATAAGTGGGTTTCTCCTGGATCTCTGAGTACTCCCAGTGTATTTTTCAGTCACCTGGTAAATTCTGTAACAGCCTCAAGGAAGCCCTATTAACTGTGCAATTAGCATGCATATAACTAACATATGCATATAACATATATTTGAGCTTTATAACTAGGCATATGCATAAACATATAATTGAGTATATAACTAGGCAAGATTATAATAAGCACTCAGAAGTGAAATAGCCAAAGGACAATATACATCTATCTAGTGAGGGATCTCAAACTCAAATGCCCATAGTGTCCAGGCAGTTAACAAAGGCGATCTGGGTAGGCTTAAGATAGTGAGTGAAAACTATTTGTACCATGAGTTCAAGCATAATGTAGTTGCCTAGTTACATTGCCTTTTAAAACGCTAGACTGGCAAACGAAACAGCCAAGAGGAAGAGAGGCTGCCAGTTGCCAGACACTGGCGTCTCACACAGCTTGCTCGTCTTACGGTCCTTAGTGTGGGGTCCCTGCCTAGGATGGTTCCCTGCCTAAACCCAGCTTGCTGAGTGGGGACTAGGCCTTCCACGTGGTAGTGCCAAGGGACATCTAGACTTCATGTCCACATACAAGTGACTTCTATTTCCTGCCCAAGGCCTGCCCCCCATGTTCCTGTTTCTTGATGATGTCCCACCTCTTCTGAGGATGTCAGTACAGGGAATGTCTGTCCCTTGCAGGGACACCTGCATCAGGACAAGGATGCATGCTGGATTCTCATGCTTTCCACAGGTTACCCATGGGCTCTGCATTGAAAATGGAAAGGAAGGGCCCTTGAGAGCAGACCCAATTGTTCTCAGTGTTAGATACGTTTCACCCAGATTATGGATTGATATGTGAGCATTTTGATTTTGCAATAATACCTTATAAATTTGGTTGCTGGGAGTCAAGCCCCCTGTGCCGAGTCTCCCTGGGGTAGCTAATTGAGTTCAAGGCTAAGGAACTGTCTCCCAAACCCAACAGTTGCTCTGCCATTCTTTTTTTTTTTTTTTTAATATATTAATTTTTTTTTACAGAGAGGAAGGGAGAGGGATAGAGAGGGATAGAGAAACATCGATGAGAGAGAAACATTGAACAGCTGCCTCCTGCACACCCCCCACCGGGGATGTGCCTGCAACCAATGTACATGCCCTTGATCGGAATCGAAGTTGGGACCCTTCAGTAAGCAGACTGACACTCTATCCACTGAGCCAAACCGGTTTTGGCCTCTACCATTCATTCTTCAGCAACTACCCCCCAAAACCATTTCTGATTCTAAACCAAAAGACAAGTGAGTGGTATTTCAAGTTTGAGGATTTAATATTTACAGACAATGAAGCCCAGCGCAAGGCATTAAGATGACAAAGAACCCCAAAGAGTATGTGGGAATTCCATTGCCTACAGTATTGTGTTTGGAGTGAAAACAGCAACACATTTAAGAAACTTAAGAAGAAAAAGCTTTACAAGCCTGCCATTCTGCATATAAGACACAATATTGTGAATAGTACACTTTCCAAGGTGGGCGAGTTTTTGTGCACTTCCCAATATTTTGATTCTCGAAGCACTTTTAGATATTGCTGACTCTAAGGAAAGTAAATGTCGAAGCCACCGCATTGAGCCTGAGGGATGGAAAGGGCTTTAATTACAGACAATTGGATTTGAAATCACCCAGGGGTGGTGAGCTCAGGCTCCAGTTCTGGTGAGAGGAGGTGTGTGCTCGGCCAGCTGGGTCACCCAGTTAAAGGATCGGAGTCTGGTTTGGGCATCATTGGCACAGGCCTTCCATGGAGGGCCCGTCTGGATGGAGGGGGTTGGGGTCTGTGGGGTCCCTCAGCTCGTCCCCACTCAGCAGAGACTCACTGAGGGCCTCTTTGGTGTCAGGTTTTTTCTAGACATTTTGGGGGGTGGGGGTTCAGCGGAGGACAAGATGGACAAAGTACCTGGACTCACCCAGCTTATGGCTTAGAAGGGGAAGAGAAAGTAGTGAAACAAGGTACTTTTGGATTGAAGCGTGATGTTATCGAGAGAACCTCTGTGTGTTGCATGGGGGATCCGGTGACATTCTCTGTGAAGTGTGAAGGGTCAGAAGGACTCAGCTGTTTGGACTGAGGAAGAACAAGGGCCAGGGCCCTGAGGCAGGAAAGAGCTTGGCATACACCAGAAACTTCCAGGTCAGTGTGGTTACAGTGCAGAGAGCTCTGGGGAGGGCAGTACCAGACAAGGTTAGGAAGCAGAGGGTGTTACAACAGGCCTGGGAAGGAGGCTGTTAGGTGAGGGGTCACAGAATTTGTGCTGGCAATGGGGTGTGGTGAGTAGGAGTGGGAGGGGAAGCCGAGCCTCGAGATACCTGTTTGTTTTTCTTTCCTGAGGATTAAACAGATTAAACCTCCACCAGTGAACTTGCAGTGGTTGGCTAGTTAAACTCATTACAGACCTGTTGGCCCAGTTGGGTTTGGGTGATAGCAAAGGGGAGAGGAGGGGCTGCCTTCCGGGCAGAAACATGTACTGGTAAGACCGGCCTGTACCCAACCCCAGGCAGGTGTGCAAAGGAGAAGCTGGGACAGTTCGCTGGGAAAAGGGCAACTTCTCTCCACCGTGATTGCCTTGCTCCCTCCCATCCTCCCCTTCCTTCCCCAGGGCCAGGAGGAATTATCCTAACAATTGACCAGAACCAGAAGGCAAACAATCTACACCCTCATCCACACTTAATAATACACAAGTAGTGTATTATTAAGTGTTGAGGGGCCTTAAGGAGACACTAAGTCTACTGGGCCCTGTTGCAATCAGGTTGATTTAACCTTGAAAGGGAGTGGCAGGGTGGTGGGAGAGACTGTGTGTGTGTTTTAATTAGGTAGATTAAAATGTGTCTCATTTAATAACTCCAGTCCCCCTGCTATAATGAGTTACTGATGAATTTAGCCTCAGAGCCAGTTCCTATGTTGTTGGAAAACCTGCCTAGGAGGCATGTGGCCAAATTCAGATTGAAGGTTGATGTCTTGGGTCACACAGATGGATGATTTGCTGAAAATGGGGAACACAGACGGAGAATGAGGCTCATGGAGTGCGAATCCCTGAGAGGGTAGGTCCTTGGGTCCTCCAATATTGGCTGCACAGCCTGGTTTGAGGGTCACAGGTCTGGCCCGCTGTGGGAGCCCCTTTCACGTCCCGCATGGTTCGGGGTTCCGGTTCAGGGTTCTGGTTCTGGAGAAGGGCCACATGCAAATTAAGAGACTAGAAGAAATTTAATTTGGCAATATGGGGGGCATGCAGGAGCCCACCTCTAGTAGGAGGACTGCCTGTAGGCTCTGGCCTTGATATCCCTTTTATTGAGACTATTGGATACATCCATAGCCCTTTGGCAGGTAATAATTGGATTATCAGATCAATAAGGATTTACATAATTATTCGATGGGGACGTTGCCTCAGTTACCACTGTCTTAATTAGATAGGGAGTGGTTGAGTTCTGACCTTTCAGAGCTTCAAGGTTGACCAGCCTTTGCATCTTTCTATTAGTGAGACAATGATTGGTTTCTGACAGCTCACCCTCCTCGTGACTGGTCCAGGCTTGGTGGTACAGCCTGAAGCAGGACCCAGGTTTCTAGACGTCCCCTCCTCCTGACTTACTATCACATGAGACCACAGCTTGAAAGGAAGGTGCAGGAGAGGGCTGCCTAGATGCAGGGCTCAGTTCGGCTTTCCACTCCTGCCTAAACCTCTGCAACAAGGCAAAGCTGAGGGTGTGTTTTGTGTTTCAGAACCCGCCAGCAGGAGGCCCGTCATCCTACTTTTTGTGGCCACAATGCTGACCGCCCGCCTCGCCAGGCCCCTGTCAAAGCTCCCCGGGAAAACCCTGAGTTTCTCTAACAGAGAAAATGGAGCAAGGTAAGAAACTGAAGGGTGGAGGTGGCCCTGAGTGCCACACTCTCTAGGCAAAGCAGAGAGAGCTCTTCACACATGGATGATGCAGGTGGTCCTAAGGCCTGACTCTCAAGGTGACACTCAGTACCCACCTTCGACCAGCAAAGGAAATTCAAAGGTGTCCTCAGAAGACAGAGACCTTCCCAGGCACATGGGGCACAGAAGAATGTCTTTTATCAGATTTTTTACCTTTTTATTTTGAAACTAGTGGCCGGGTACATGACATTCATGCACAGGGGGAGGGAAGGGTGTCCTTCAGCCTGGCCTGCACCCTTTTCAATCTGGGACCCCTCAGGGGATAACCGGAAGTTGGACATCCCTCTCACAATCCAGAACTGCTGGCTCCTAACAGCTAGCCTGCCGGCCTGATTGCCCCTAACTTCTTCTGCCTGCCAGCCTGATTGTCTCTAACTGCTCTCCTGCTGGCTTGATTGCCCCTAACAACCTCTGCCTCAGCCCTGCATCCAGGACTCAGGATTCCATCCTCCAGCCAATCACAGGCACCCAGGCTTCTCTCCCTCTGGTCAATCATAGGCACCCAGGCCGACTGCAGCCGAAGGGGATGGTGGGCAGGTGGCTTCGCCTGGGCTGCAGCCTCAAGTGCTGGTACCTGGGACCTCCACGTAGTGGCTTCTCCATCTACCAGGCTGTTGCCAGCCACAGGTGCTGGCGCTTGGACTGCAGGCAGGCAGCTTCTCCGTCTTCCCTGGGATGCAGTGTGGGCAACTTCTTCAGCTGGCTGCGGCCTGGGATCATGGGGCAGGCTGCTTCTTGTCTCCTGGGCCCCCCAGCCTCAGGCGCTGGGGCCCAGTTTCTCTGTCTCCCCCAGGACGTGGGGCAGGTAGATGTGAGGCTTCTGTTGCTGTCTGCGTCCTGGGAGCAGGGCAGGCCACTTCTTTGTCTCTCATGCTGCAGTCAGCCTCAGGTGCTGGCATTCAACTTCTCTGACCCTCACAGGCCCAGAGTGGCAGGGGGCGGGGCTTCCACAATCTTTTCAGATTAATTTGCACACTCACTCTGATTGTCTGGTAGCATAGAGGAGTGATGTTAATTTGCATGTTTCTCTTTTATTAGTGTAGATAACTGATAACAAAACTTGCCGAGGTAGTACAAAAGGCTGCTCTATCCTCTTCACCTAACTTCCCTGAATGTTATCATCTTACAAAATCATAGTGCAATGATGAAAACCAGGAAATTACCACTGATATGTGTTAACAGACCACACCGGATTCAAATTTTGTCAGATGGCCCCCGGATGGACCTTTCCTGTCCAGGGTACAAACCAGGGCCCTGCAGTGCCTTTAGTTGTCATGTCCCCCTCCTCTCTTCCCATCAGGGGCAGTTCCTGAATTTGTGTCATTCTTGACCTTGACACTTTGAAAAAAATGTCTCTCCATTGGGGTTTGTGTGATGTCCTCTTGTTTGGATTCAGGTATTCATGTTTGGAAGGTGCTACCCAGATGAGGTGTGTCTCAGTGCAGTGCATCTGGAGGCACACAGCATTGATGTGTCTTATTACTGTGATCACCTGGGTGACTCCTCTTTTCAAACTTTACCCATGAAGCAGCTAACTAAAATGTCCTGAGACTTCACTGAACTGCTGTGTGTGTAGAGACAGCCAAGTAAGTACAGATGAAACAAGCAGCTCTTCGTTGAGAGCCCTGGGATTGCCTTTCCCAAGGGGATTCAGTGCATTTTGCTATTTCATTTTCCTCTGTGGCAGCCAGAGCCAGGAAACACAATACCTTTTTTCTTTATATTTAAGAGGAATGAAAGTAAATGTTAGGTTAAATTCAAAGTTCCAGCAGCTGGAATATTGATAGGTATTTTTATGCCAATAAATATGTTTGGAAGAACATGCATATCAGCCTTTTATAAATATAGACTAGAGGCGCGATGCACAAAATTCGCATCCCTAGCTTTATCCGGAATGTCGTCCAGAAGATTGTTTAGCCATCTGGTCTAATTAGCATATTATGCTTTTATTATATAGACTAGAGGCCCAGTGCATTAATTTGTGCATGGCAGGGCGAGGTGGTGTGTAGATGTGCTAAAATAGTGGCAAGCAAAGACCACAGACAGAGCGCCCCCAATGGCCTGAACACCAGCTACGATTTGAGGTGGAAATACAGCTTTGCTTTGCTGCCCCTGCTCAGGCCACCTCACTCTCCCTGGGGCAGAGTTACTGACACAAACATGTCGTCTCTCCTATCTCAGCCACACATTTTCTCAGAGCTCCACCCCCAAGCATGATAGGTAGCTGACTTTGGCCAATGGTAGCACACTGCTGTAGGAGTGCTAGCCAATCAGCAGTTGGGAGCCTGGAAAGGTACAGGGCTGAGCTAGAAGTGGTGACTGAAGGTGGGGGGGTCGGGGGAAGTGGCAGAAAGGCAAGCAGTGTGTGGTGTGGTGGCAGAGGTAAGATGGCAGTGATGCTTACTTTATGTCTTTACAGTTAGGCTGCTTGCCTTGCTCCTTCTGCCACCTCCGAGCTGCTACTTTTCTCCATCAGTATCAGGGTCACTCTCCTCCTACAAGCTTCCCGGACCCAGATTCTCCTTAGCCAGGGGAGATTAAAAGGGGTGGGCTGGCTCCTGGAGGGAGGGACCATGGGAGGTTGGCCGGCTGCGGGGAAGGACTGCAAGAGGTTGACGGTGGGAATGCAATGACTACTATGGACAGCTCCTGCTTTGAGCATCTGCCCCCTGGTGGTCAGTGCACATAGCAACTGGTCGACCAGTCATTCTGGTCATTTGATTGTAACAGTCACTTATTCTTGAAATGACAAAATTATAGAGATGGAGAACAAATTAGTGGTTAAAGAGGATGTGATGTGGGAGGGAAGTGGGTGTAGCTATAACAGGGTACCAGGAGAGATCCTTGTGTGATGGAAATGTTTTGTATTTTTGCTGCATCACTGTAAATATCCTGGTTGTGATATTGTACTGTAGTTTTGCAAGTTTCGTTAGGGGCAATTGGGTGGAAGGTACAGGGATTTCTGTCTACTATTTTTTTAACTGCATGAGAATCTATAATTATTTCAAAATAAAAAGTTAAGTTAAAAAAATAAATAACTCAATGAGGGGAAAAGGAGACATATATAATACTTTAACAATACAAAATTAAAAAAAAAAAAAAACCTTATCAGGAAGCAGCATAAAACCCAGGGGTTAAGGGGTGGAATTTGCAGATGAAAGCTCTCTCACCTGAAAGTTCTTCCCACACAGTGGCAAAAATGGCCACTGCCACTGATGGCCCACTTCCTACCAGCCTCGCACCTGGAGGAAAGAGGCCCTCTTTCTCAGTAGCACCAGCAGGATGTCCCCAGGGGCCGGGTGGGGGACAGTCAGTGCCGCTCGCTGGTGGCTGAGGGTACTCTGCGTTGCTTCTGCCCCAGGAACAAGGTCTAGGTGTGTCCGCAGCCTGTGCTCATGGCTTCCTCTTCTCTTGCAGGCGCACACTGCTGTTTTACCCCGCCTCCTGCGTCCCCGTGGGTCGTCGCACTTACGCTGATACGGTGAACCCGGTGAGTGGCAGCCCAGCTACCTGGGAACCAGCCAGGTGGTCAGAGCCCTTCCCGCAGGCAAGGGCCCTGAGCTACCTTCCGAATACCAGGCTTCAGAGCTTTCAGAACTCTTACAGCCACTTTCTCACATTTTTAACCTACACTCCGTCCCGATCCTCCAAACCTCCCATCAAATGAGTTTTAGAGGTTAAGAGTTTAGACTCTAGAACCAGACAGGCTTGGTTTCAATTCCATTTCTATCACTTAGTAGGTTGGGCATTTAAAAAGTATCTGTTTCCTCATTCATAGCATGCTATAATAATTATGATTACTGTATGCAATTATTAGGTCTAGTAATAATTAATGTCGTTTTCTAATACTTTTTAAATCGAATTTATTTAAACAACACAACAAAATTTAATCAACAATATAGTTGCCGTTGTTTTCTACTACTTGTGCCCAATGCTCAGGAACATTTTAATCCCTCTGTTATAAAATTCTTGTGATTTTGATGCAAAAAATTCGGTCAATGCATTTTTGAGGCATTCTTCATTATTAAATTTTTTTCCAAGAAGAAAGTTTTGCAAAGAACGAAACAAATGGTAATCGGAAGGGGCAATATCAGGAGAATATGCAGGTTGAGGGAGAACTTCCCATTCCAACTGGCGCAGTTTTTCAGCAGTGATTCTTGCAGTATGCGGTTGTGCATTATCATGGTGAAGAATTATGCCCTTCCGATTAATCAGCGCGGGTTCTTTTTCTCTTAAAGCTTGGGCTAACCTTTCCAATTGGGCACTCTACACTGCACTTGTAATGGTTTGGTTAGATGGTAAAAGTTCATAATGAAGAATTCCTTTAAAATTCCACCAAACACACAACATCACTTTTTTCGCATGCAAGTCAGGTTTTGGCGTGGGCTGCGGAGCCTCATTTTTGTCCAACCATTGAGGCCGCCTTTTCAAATTAACATCCAGCACCCATTTTTCATCTCCGGTAACAATTTGCTCTAAAAACGGCAAACGGTTTTGACGAGAGAGGAGCGAACTGCAAATTGTGACTCTTTGATTACGGTTGTTGTCGGTCAACTCATGAGGAACCCATTTTCCAAACTTTTGGACTTTGCCAAGTGCACGCAATTGATTGGAAATTGTTTTTTGTGAACAATTTAAAGTTGTCGCAAGCTCTTGTTGGGTAATTTGAGGATTTTGCACCAAAAGAGCTTGAAGAGCTTCTTGATCAAAATTGGACACACGGCCTCGACCACTCTTGTCATCTAACGAAAAATTTCCCTCGCGAAATTTCTCAAACCAACGCTGGCATTTTCTGGCGCTAACTGCATCTTGACCAAGAGCACTCCAGATGTTTTTTGCAGCCTCACTTGCTTTTCTTCCTAATTGGAACTCGTAAAGCATGCAGTGCCGAATATGCTCTTCATCCGCCATCTTCTTAGCCCTAGTTTTGCAACAAAAACCAAACCAAACACAAACTTTTTCAAGCAAAACTTGTTAATTGCACTTCACACGTTCTGTAGATACCACGTGTTTGAAGGTTATGTCAATACAAGTCAACGCCAAGCAAGATTTTAAACGAATGTTTAAAAACGACATTAATTATTACTAGACCCAATACTATGATAATTAAGAGAGGAAAATATTGATTGACTGCCTTCTGTACCAATTCTAATAATATCTCCATATAGTAATCATGCATGCACAGTGCTTGCACGTGGTAAGTAATGATGTGATGATTGTGCTAATGGTGATTGCAGGTGAGAAAACCGAGGTCCAGAAAGGGGACCTCAAGCAACATTATTAGTCGGTGGCAGCATCTGGATTAGAACCTGGTTTCCTGATTCTGAGTCCAAGCTTGTCCCACTAGACTATGGTGCTTCTCCCGACGGGAAACGCCAGGCAGGGAGGCCTAGGCGCGGTCCACTCTGGAAGCACTAGTTGTTACTGCCCAGCGGTGGACGGGTCGCTCTGCACTCAGGATCCTGGTTCCTAACGTGGGGTCTAAACTTCTACAATAGGCCGGCAGCAAAGCCGTGCTGATCACAGGCTGCGACTCTGGATTTGGGTTCTCCTTGGCCAAGCATCTGCATTCAAAAGGCTTCCTTGTGTTTGCTGGCTGCTTGTTGAAGGTAAGAGATCGGTCATCTTTGTCACCATTGCCCTTCACACATAGTCACTGGTTTGTACATTGTTATTTTTAATTGCAGTAAAATACACCTAACATAAAATTTACCATCGTAACCATTTTAAGCGTACTGTTCAGCGATATTGTCTATTCACATTGTCTAAGTACCTCATATAAGTGGAATCATACACGTTTGTCTTTTTGTAACTGGTTTATTTCACTTAGTGTAAAGTCTTCAAGGTTTGTCCACATTGTAACATCTTACAGAATTTCTTTGTTAAGGCTGAATCATATTGCATTGTATGTATATATTACATTTATTTATCCTTTCATCTGCTAATGGACACTTGGGTTGCTTCCACATTTAAAAAAAATATATATATTATTGATTTTTTTTTTTACAGAAAGGAAGGGAGTGGGATAGAGAGAAACATCAATGAGAGAGAAACATTGATCAGCCGCCTCCTGCACACCCTCCCCCCACCCCCCAACTGGGTATGTGCCTGCAACCAAGACACATGCCCTTGACCGGAATCAAACTTGGGACCCTTGAGTCCGCAGGCCGATGCTCTATACACTGAGCCAAACTGATTAGGGCTGCTTCCACATTTTAACTACTGTGAATAATGCTACTGTGAGCCTGGGTGTAAAATATCTCTTCAAGATACTGTTTTCAATTCATTTGGGCATATATCCAGTTGTAGAATTACTCAAGTCATGTGATAATTCTATTTTTTTTTTTTTTTTGAGGAATTGTCAACTGTTTCTCATAGCAGCTGTACTGATTTTTACCTCCCACCAACAGTGTACAAGGGTTCTGATTTCTCCATGTCTTTGCCAATACTCATTTTCTGGTTTTAGATAGTAGCTATCCTAATATGTGCGAGGTGATGTTTCATTGTAGTTTTGATTTGCATTTCTCTAATGATTGGTGATGTTGAGCATCTTTTCATGTGCATTTGTCATTCTATCCCTTTTGGAGAAAATGTCTATTCAAGCCCTTTGCCCATTTTAGGATGGTTGTTTTGTTGTTGAGTTTTAGGAGTTCTCTATATATTCTGGTTATTAATTCCTTATCAGTTATATGATTTGCAAACATTTTCTCTGTTTTTGGGTATTGTCTTTTTCTCTGAGGGTAGTGTCTTTTGATGTACAAAATTTAAAAATTTTATTAAGTCCAGTTTGCCTATTTTCTTTTGGTACCTATGCTTTTGGTGTCATATCTAAGAAATCATTTTCAAATCCAATGTCATGAAGCTTTTGTGCTATGCTTTCCTCTAAGAGTTTTATTGTTTTAGGTCCTTGATCCATTTTGAATTAAGATATATGGTGTTAGGTCAAGGCCCAACTTGATTCATTTGCATGTGGATATCCAGTTTCCCCAGCACCATTTTTTTTAATGTATTTTATTGATTTTACACAGAGAGGAATTGAGAGGGACAGAGAGTTAGAAACGTCGATGAGAGAGAAACATCGACCAGCTGCCTCTTGCACACCCCCCACTGGGGATGTGCCCGCAACCAAGATACATGCCCTTGACCGGAATTGAACCCGGGACCTTTCAGTCCACAGGCTGACGCTCTATCCACTGAGCCAAGCCGGTCCCAGCACCCCAGCACCATTTCTAAAAAGACTGTCCTTTCCTGCATTGAATGGTCCTTGTAAAAAAAATCATGTGAGGTTTTATTTCTGGGCTCCTTCTCTGATACAAAACCTTATATTCCTCTTCTGACACCCGCTGCCCCCTCACACTCCTCGCCCTCCCTCCGGAAGCTGCAGCCACAGAGGCCTCCTGCTGTTTGGCACACCCTCCTTGGGCTTTGGCTTGGCTGCCTCCTCTCCCCCAGATTCCTTCAAGACTTGCTCCCTTCCTTCCTTCCAATGTCACCTTCCTGGAGAGGTCTTTCTTCCCTCTTTAAAACTGAACCCCCCCTTTACCACATTCACCACCATCTGCCTTTCCTGCCTGTCTCCGGGATCATGAGGAAGGCTCGATGGGCCAAGGTGGCATGTCATCGCCATCTGGAAGGACACACAGGAGTTCCCTGTGATGGATGGAGGTGACATATCCAGACCCTGCCAGTCATCTGATGTGGCTGAAGCCCAATGCCCTCGTGGAACCCATGGAAGAAGAGGAGATGAGCTGGGAAAGGAGGGCAGGACCAGGCCAGGAGGGGCCCTGAATGCCTCTGACGTGGCTTTTGTCAAAGGTGCCAGATCCCTTGGTCACTTCTCAGACCATGCCATCCTCAACCCACCAGCAGACCTGACCATACTCCTGTTTGTAACTCTTTGTTTCTTGACTTTGTGGATACCTTCCTCTGCTTATCTTCTCTGCTTAGCGCCTCCTGCTGCTTCTCCTGTAACTAGTACAACGCCCCAGGCCTGCTTCTCTCGTCACAGTGTTTCTCACACATGTGACAAGAAGCTCACATGGAACAAGTGCTGAGTGTCCTTACACCGGCCTTGAGGTGCTAGAGCACTAACAGTACATACTGGGAGACTGGGAGACCTTTCCGCCAGGATTACCCCATCACCTGCCTCACGGCTGTAATACACTGAGGTGGAGGAGGTGGACAGGTTGGACAGAGTTGATAGTGCACTGTAGTATTTTCCGTCTGGTCTCAAGTAAAATGAAGTTGGTTTCAAGAGCACTCCTTGGAGAGCTTACCATGTGTGCCCTGGAACCTGAGGCCACAGAATGGTGTGTTCAAGTTTACGAAAAGAAGTTGCAAGGCCCAAGAAAGAGGCCAGCGTGGCTCGTCTGGAAGCAGTGCAGAGAGAGCTGCATAGAGCAGTGGTCCTCAGACTGCGGCTCGAGAGCCACATGCAGCCACATGCAGCTCTTGAGTGTTCTAACACTTATTCAAAATAGACTCGCCCAGGTCGAAAACAGACTTCTGCGCATGGGCCACGAAGTTTCAATTGCACTGTACGTGTGTGCCCGCACGTGGTATTTTGTGGAAGAGCCATACTCAAGGGTCCGAGCCATACTCAAGGGGCCAAAGAGCCGCATGTGGCTAGTGAGCCGTGGTTTGCCGACCACTGGCATAGGGGAAGGGCTGTCCTTCTGCCTGGGCAGGACACTGTTGCCTGAACCTGATGTGGGTAATGGGAGAGCTCCTGGGATCATCTAAAAGGCACCTGCCCAGTGAAACTCCGAGAGGGTCCATGGGGCCAACCAGAGGGGTCCCTCCCGGAAGCCCTGGCTGAGGAGGAAGTGGCACAGGAGGAGGAAGGAAGGGCATAGGAGTCTCCAAGGAAGAGATCTTCTTGGAAACCCACAAAAGGGCCCTAGGGAGGAAGGGCCAGCCAGGCACCACCCTCAGAAGACTATAGTCTTGCTCCCTCACTCGTCAGCCTCTGGATCCAACCCTGGGAGGAGCTGGGATTAAGGAATAAGAGACGAGGAGGAGCTAGAATGTAGTGAGAAAGACACCCTCTGCCCTGCTGCCTGGTGTCTCACACTGGCTTCCCACACTCCATCCCCACACTCCATCCCCACACTCCATCCCCTCACTCCATCCCCACACTCCATCCCCACACTCCATCAGGCCTGCGGCAGGGCAGGCTCTACACTGGATACACGTTTGAAGGAGGGTTTGGGTTTTCAACTGTAGTTACCTGATTAGCAAACCGAACTGGACTCTTTATGCCAAAACAAAGAGTCTATCACCTGGGAATGAGTGGAAACACTGTGAGACTTGCCTGAGGAAAGCATAGTTTACAAATGAAGCTTAAAGGTGTAGTGACAGAAGGCACTGTCCCTTTACCAAGGTACCAACCCAGGGGGACCGAAAGCTTGTCTCTGAGCAGCAGACCGATGAGGAGCCAGGGATGCAGTGTGGCCCAGGCAGTGCAGCCAGCCGTGGCCTGAGGCTGGGGCTGGGCCACCTAGTCTGCAGCCTGCAGGCTGAGGGCCGTTGGGGAAGGTTTCCTTTGAACAGTCCCTTTCGCTGTGGAGGTGGCTGTCAGGAGCAGGGTGTGCAGGCTGCTTAGAGATGAGTGAGGACTCCTGAGGAGGTCTGTCCGGTGAACGTAGGAAGGTAGGGCTTCCCTCCTGGGAGCCTGAACTGAAGCTGTGGGCTGTCAAGCTGCCAGTCTAAGTCCATGTGGACTCCCTGACCGAGGTGAGGGAGTTCCCCGAGGACACAGGAGCATTGGCTCCATGCTGGCCAGAGGCACGGGGAGGGGTCAGGGGTGGGGTCCAGGAGTTACCAAAAGATACCAGGAAGAGGAAAGAACACTCAGGTGTCTCTCGTGCATCTCAGCTGGAATCTGTCCTATTGGAAGGTGATGTCGGCTCCCCCTCAGAGACACAGAGTGCTTGGGCTCAGCTCGAGGGGCATTTGAGGGCCACGACATGAAGACGGCACGAAAACAAGTCATCCTGGGTGCTGTGTGTGGAGAAGAGAGGTGTCTGTGGCACCAGCCCCTCCAGCCTTTGGACTGGAAGCAGGCGTCCCCAGAAGATTCTTTTCTGGAACCCTCTGAGGAAATGGCAGCAGAAACTGCAGGCTTGGCTGCCCCTCTGTAGATGGAGCACCTGCCGTGGCTCATCCAGGGGGCCAGAGCCAAGCCTTGCATGAATCGAGCCTCACCTGGCTGCTCTGTGCAGACAGGATTCTGGGTGTAGCTGCCATTCCTGGTGCCAGGGTGGACAGACACTCAATGTTGCTTTTTCAGTAGGGGCACTGGGAAGGGGTGGGGGCTCCCTGGAGAGGATGGCAGTTTAGGGGTGGAAGAGATCTTAGAGGAGGGATTTTCTCTGCACCACATTCCCCATCCTGTCCCAACCCCACCTCCACCATCATTGTCGGAACACCGCTCAAGCAGTCCGTGCCTTCTCTGGACTCGGAACGTCACTCCTCACTGTAAGCCGGATTTACCTTCTTGGCCCTGGTTCTGTTTTCTGGGCTGCGTAGGACAAGCTGGCTTCCTTGCCATCATGTTCTCTCAGGAATGATGATCTTCTTCACCTTTGACCCCATTGGACACGGCCCCTGCACCGTTCTCTCCTCTGCCAGTGCCTCCCTCTGACACTGAACTGCAGCCCTGGGGCTCGAGTCCTCTTCGTTCAAGCCACTTACATGAGACCCAGACTATCCCTGTAGAGAACTCTCCACCGACATGCTGACCCTCCTTGTGCTTTCTGCTCTGCCACTTGTTCAGCGCCAGCTGTCTGTGCCCCGGGCAAGCCTGGGCTGAGCGTAGGGCATTCCTCTTATCGCTTCATCCTCTGACAGCTGCTCCTGTCCTCTGGTGAGATGCGTCACTGCTCCCTGTGCACCGTGGAGGAGGAAATCACTGCCAATTACATGATGACTGAGTGTTTAATTTTCACCTCGTTTGTAGCTCAGGCCTATTGTGAGACTATGGGGCACAGACAGATGAATGTGACAGTGCAGCCTGCCTCTGATGGGAGGGCTAACTAATGAGATAATGCATGTCAAGTGCCCAGCACAAAGGGAAGCGCAGTAAATGCCCAATAAATGACATCTGCTTTTATTCAACATCTCCGAACAGATGCCCACTGCCCACCTTCTGGCAGCACCCGCTTGCCTCTGCTGGAAGTGCCCCATCCACGGGGTCCCTCTGGCCGTGTCTGCTGCTGTCAGGGCCTTTGAAAAGCCTCCCCTGCCCCCCCACCTCTGTGCAGCCCCCGCCTCCCACGCGGCTTCCTGCAGCAGATACTCCCTGTACTCCTCACTCACCTGCCTCCTTCCCTAACGTGACTCTCTGAGAACAGGGGCTGAGATATTTGGTTTTGTGTCTCCGGTTCTTAGCAAAGTACGTAGCACAAGAGGCCCAAGATGTGTCTGCTGAGTGAGCGATGCTTTTCTCACGTGTAATAACACCCGAATTTGCATAGGGCTTTATCATTGCATGGGCTTTAAAAAAAAAAAAATTTTTTTTTCTCGTTCCATTAGCCTGAGCAGGCCAGGACAGGCGGCGATGTGGTTATGCCTAAGTGTAGCTGGAAAAACCGGGCACCTGCCAAAACTGGTTTGGCTCAATGGATAGAGCGTCGGCTTGGGGACTGAAAGATCCCGGGTTCGATTCCGGTCAAGGGCATGTACCTTGGTTGCGGGCATATCCACAGTAGGGGGTGTGCAAGAGGCAGCTGATCGATGACTCTCTCTCATCGATGTTTGTAACTCTCTATCTCTCTCCCTTCCTCTCTGTACAAAATCAATAAAATATATATGAAAACAAAACAAAACAAAAAAACCGGGCACCTCTTGAGGGATGCCCCTGAGCGCACAGAGTCTGGTTGGTAGCCAAACTGGCAGCAGAGCCTGGCCCTGGCCACTCACCAACCTGCAGGTTTCAGGGCCTCGGCTTGGAACAGAGGTGGCAAACGGGCAGCCTGCTGGTCACAGGGGCAGGTGGGTGTGTTTTGGCCTCATATATATATTTTTAGAAAACCCAAATAAGTTGCCAACACTTAAAAATTTAGGAGCTCTAGCGCAGAAATCCCCATTACAAGTTTAAAAATCTAAGCAACCCTGGGCTCACATATACATGTGAACAACTGGGGGAAGGGGTTTTGAGAGGCAAAACTTGTGCTCCACTCCTGAGTGTCTCCCTTCTCATCATGTGACACCCACATCCCTGGCCCGGGCAGGCATTGAGTTTGTACTTCTGCTTAGAGAATGACCCTGCCGGTGAGGATTTAGGGGCTCATGGCTGTGTCTGCGGCATGTAGTTTGGTGCTTGGTACATCATCAGTGCTCAGGGATTAGGCCCAGGTGGGCCTGTGCTTGTCAGTAGCCCCAGGCTTAGGTCTGGACCGGGCCAGCTCCCTGCCTTGGCTCAGAGGCTGGGCGTGAAGCAGCCCCTCTCTCCTCCCAGGACAAAGGGGATGCTGGAGTCAAGGAGCTGGACAGCTTGAAGACCGATCGATTGAAGACTATTCAGCTCAACGTCTGCAAAGCCGAGGAGGTGGAGAGAGCTGTGGAGACTGTCCGCTCGAGCCTGGCGGACCCTGAGAAAGGTAGGGGCCCCTTGGGGCAGTGACCAACACCACCCTCCCTTCACTGGTATCCAGCAGCCAAAAGACGGCTTTCTCTATTTCCAAGCTCTTCCTCCTGCACAGGAGGAGGAAGTGGGTTGAATGAAACACTCCGTGCAACCAGGGAATGGGAAGCAAAGCCAGAGGTGATTTCAGAATCTGCAGGAGCGATGAGTGGATGTGCTCTGTCCAGGCCAGTTCAGCCAGTGCCTACTGGATGCCCACTCGGAGCCAGGAGCCAGGAGCCAGGTGTGGGCCGAAGTATTGGGACACAAAGATGGCCAAGACATAGTCCCTGTCCTCGAGGACCTCACAGTTTATCGGGAAAGTGTGGGGGTTGGGGAGAGACACTGACTCAGATGATTTTTATGCCCAGTTTTGGGATGAGGTGAGGGAGGGGGCCATTAGGGCAGACTGTGGCAGAGCGGTGGGAAAGGGGGAGCGTGAATAGTGGTGGGACGTGCACAAGGGGTGCCAGGGGAGGACAAGTCAGGGGTCAGGTCTGGTGGAAGTGGCAGCAGCAAACGAGGTTGGAAGGGAGCTGGTCCAGGGCCTGGGTGCCCGGCAAGGGAGGTGGCCACTCTCTTGAGGGCAGTAGGAGCTACTGAGGGGATTTCCCTGAGGAGAATGACCTGGTCATACTCGTGAAAGCTTGCTCTGGGGGCTGTGGTAAGAGCATGGGAGTAAGAGTCCTGAACGAGGGCTGTGAGTATTGGGAACGAGGAGGATCAGACTCAAGTACTGAGAAGGCACCGCTGGCTGGACTTGGTGACATGCATGTGGGGAAGAGGGAGAGACGAGAGGCCTCTCTCCCTGACACCTGGTACCCCTCATGGAGGAGTTGTGGGGTGTGGAGATGCTGAAAGTGCCCAAGGGACACCCGGAGGGAGTGTCTGGGCTGGAGCTCGTGTGTCCAGAGTTGGCGGTTAGACTGAGGCCAGGAGGGTCTGCTGGGGAACGTGAGCATTTAGGCACCAGAGAAGGAGAAGACATAACTGTCAGAGGGGTTGGGTATAGTGGCCCCAGAAGCTAAAGGGACAGAAAGTTTGGGGGACAGTAGGCAACAGGGGCGCTTGATGATGAAAGTTTCCATAGCATAAGGACTCAAGTGTCCTCCCAGTCCAGCCCAGGAGGGCCGTGATGGGAGGGGCTCTGTGGTACAGCAGAGGGGAGGGGACGCCGTTCACGTGGAGCGCAGCGGTGAGGGTGCTGCGGGGGAAGCCAGTCCGGTCTCCTCACTTCACCGATGACATTCACCTTGGAGCTTCCCAACGGCCCAGCAGAAAGGCTATGGCTCAGCCCTCTGCTCCCCCACAGAGTGGGCTGGGGACAGCTCTCCTGAGCAGCGACTTCGATTGCTGGTGGGGAGAGGAAGGGTGGGGTGACCAGGGCCAGTGCCGGGCGCTCTGTGAGCATTATCCTTCGGGACATGCTGAGGCCCCAGCGGCACCTCAGAAGGCCCTGTGCTGTGAGGCTGTCAGAGGAGCTGTTGCTCTGGCGGCCAGCCTGTCACTGACTGGTCCCTGTGTCAGCCCAGTGCCACCCCCACCCCACGGCAGGCCATTCCCAGGCCCCCTGCTCTCTGAGGAGAGGCCTGTGAGTTCCCGAACACCAGTTAATTAGTCATTAACAGGCAGGCCAGGGCTTCTGTCCCATCAAGAAAAGGCCGGAGGGATCCATTAGGATGATTCCCAGTCCAGAGGTGCAGCCTGCTTCCCCCCAAGCCCTGCCTCCGAGGTGAATCCTCCCCTCCCGCCTTCCCTGGCTGCTGGGATGGCCTTGGTAAACCCCTGGGAGGGAAACAGCTGCAGTCAGCACCCTGAAGCCACTCATCGCGGCCTGTGGTTCGCAGGGATTTAAGATGCCCGCGTAAAGGAATCTTCCCTGTAGACCTGAGCGCAGAATGGAGCTGCTTCAGGTCTTGGGGCGCTCACGGCCCCGGTCCTTGTCCTCTTCCACACCCTGGGCAGTTAGCCTTCCCTACGAGGCAGCGAGAATCCAGAGCCACCAGGGGGCGGCGCTCAAACCCCAGCACCAACCCTGAGGTGGAAAGCTTTTCCTGATGACCCATTTCAGTGAGGGCTGATAAACTACTCAATCTGACCTCACTTAACCCAAACTGCTTTGGGGGGAGGGGAGCATATTTGGAGGTTTTTAGGCCTGAAAAGAAAATAAATCAGATAGATAGATGGTTGTGGAGGTCTTCCCCTTCCCTTTCCTCCCCCCTCCTCTTCTTCTTCCTCCCCCCAGAGCTGTCTTCCTGGTAGGTAGAACAGCTCAAATTCTTCCCTTTTCTGGCAATGCTGGCTTCGAACTCCAGGTGGCGCCCTCCCAGAGCTTTCATACTAGCCTGTGGTTCCTAAAGGGGTGGTGCTTCTGACTCTCCCTCTGCCCAGGCAGGAAGCTCCCAGGAGAAGAGTGGACAGCACATTTTGAGTTTGGTGCCCTTCACCCCGGCTCTGTGGAACAGTTGCTGCCAAAGCCAGGGGAGCCAGCCTGCGGGGGGGGGGGGGGGGGGGAGGGGAGGGGGAGGGGGAAAGGAGGGGGCGGGGGGGGGCAGGAGGGGAAGGGGGGAGATGAAGGTGTTTGTCTGACTAGAGCTTCAAGCCATCTGCCACCAGCCCCTCTGCTCCTCAGCAGGAATCTGAAGGACTGGACATCTGGGGCCTGTGACAACCCCCTCCCCCTCCCCCCAGGGAAAGGCTGAGAGAGTGGGCCAGCAGCAGGCTGTGAGCATGTCTGATCTTGAAACCACTTACCTCACAGTCAGTAAGCATGCACTGATTGCGTACTTGGTGTGTAGTTGGTAGTGTACTGAGCACCAGAAAGGGTTCAGCCTGGTAGGAGTGTGTGGTTGGTGGCCAGCCAAGTGGAAGCTGGTGAGGAACGGTTATGGCACTGGAGGCATTACGCCACGGCCAGGGAAGGCCCAGTCTCTGGACACCCTGGGTCTGGGAGTGAGAAGACTGGCTTTACTCGGAGCTTCACCTCTGACTAGAAGTAGGAGGGTTGTATGTTCACCTGTGTGGCCTCACCTTGCTCATCTGTGAAGTGGGAAAGTGCTTTGGGAGCCATCCAGTGCTCATACCTAGGTCTGGCTGCTGCAGGAGCATGGGCAACATTTCAACAAAAAGCTGCTCTCAGACTGAGGGGTGGGGGTGGGGGCTTAGCAGAGCCAGGAAGCAGCAGAGGCGGGAGGGGCCCTGATGTCAGAGGAGGGGCAGGCTGTTCAGAGAAGGCAGAGAACTTGAAAGGGAGTGGAAGTGGGTGAGAGGAGCCTGGAAAATACTTCACATACCACTGGGGAAGGGAACCTTCAGAGCAGGACCGACTGAGAGGAGACTCGGGCTGAGGCGGATGGACCAGGATGGAGGCGGAGGAGAGGGACTAAGACAGGGAGACCTGGAAGAAGCTTCCCAGTAAATCAGGACCCAAACTACGCCGTGGAAACGGGACAGAAGATGCCGGTCCTAGTGACATAACAGGAAGCCAGTGACAGCACAAGGTTAAGCGTGAGGGCTTTGTCCTCACACAGACTGGGTCCAAATTCTATCCTGTCCACTTATTATCTGGGTGACATTGAGCAGATGCTTCACCACTCTGAGCCTCAGTTGCCTCACTCAAGACATTTTACAATTTAATATCTACTTTATAGGTCGGTTGTGAGGATCAGGAGAATTAGTAGATGCAAAATGTTTGGTTCAGGGCCTGGCAGCTGACCTTTTGATCTTTATCAGTAATGTTAACAACTCGTTAGATTGGGTTGGGAATGAAGAAGCTGGAGAAGTCAAACATTAAAGTGAAGCTATTGCCAAAACCGGTTTGGCTCAGTGGATAGAGCATCGGTCTGTGGACTGAAAGGTCCCAGGTTCGATTCTGGTCAAGGGCATGTACCTTAGTTGCGGGCACATCCCCAGTGGGGGGTGTGCAAGAGGCGGCTGGTCGATGTTTCTCATCGACGTTTCTAACTATCCCTCTCAATTTCTCTCTGTGTAAAATCAGTAAAATATATTTTAAAAGAAAAGTGAAGCTATTAACGAGGAGGAGGGGCGGGGCTGGGCAGCTGGGAACTAGGTATGTTGGTGTGGTTAGGGTGAGTTGGGGACCTACAGGGCATTACGGTGAAAGTGCCTGACAGGAGGGGGGGACTGGGGTTAGGACAGAGCCTTGACTGTCGAGGGGTGCATGGGACCCTCCACACGGAGGTGTGATGGGCGGCCGTCGCAGGAACACAGCTGTCACCAGACCAGCAGGAATGTCATGAGGCCTCCAGAGAGCTCCTGGGTCCACACACTGTCACTGCTCATCACCCAGGCACAGGTGCTTTCACAGGCCAACTTCAAGTAAACCTTTTTGGGTATGGATGTCAGGTGTCATTTATGAAGGAAAGATTATTTTAGGTTATGTGATACTGTCCCATATGAGTCGAACACAAAGCAGCTGGAAAGTTCCATGAACATAAAGAAAATGAGGCTGCCTACGTACTGAGTGTAGCTTTTAAAAACATGTATTTTTTTTAAATTGAATTCAGAGAAGAAGGGAGAGAGAGATAGAAACATCAACGATGAGAGAGAATCATTGACTGGCTGCCTCCTGCATGATCCCCACTCTGGATCAAGCCTGCAACCTGGGCATGTGCCTTAACCAGGAATCAAACCGGGACTTCCTGGTTCATAGGTCCATGCCCAACCACAGACACACTGGCTGGGCAGCAGTGAGTATAGATTTGAGGAAAGATGGTCTAGGACAGGACACTGGGGACACCTGTACCTTAGAGGGGCAGGGAGGTGAAAGGTGGCAGGGAGGATGGAGGATGTTATTAACTCCAAGGGGGAGTGAGTGTCAGGAGCACTCATTCTGTGGAGAAGTTGAGAGTGAAGACAAAGGGGCATCGTTAGCATGTGGCGCCCTTGACACCCAGAGCAGCCAGCGGCAGGGCTGGGACCCAGAATGGCAGGGAAACGGGAAACTGGGACGGGTAGCTTGTGCTCTCAGCAGACTGGCCTCGGAGGGGAGGGAAGCAGAGAATAGCATGAGGGAGTAGCCTGGTAAAGAGAAGGTCCTTTAGAAATATGGGGACATGGGATTTGTATTCACCTCTCCAACATTTATTAAGCACCTAATGTGTACGACGTTGAAGGGAAGGAGACAGGAATGACAGAAGAGTTGAAGTTGCAAAAAAGAGAGAGGGTTGATGGCTTGCAATGAAGATGGTGCAGAGTGAAGTGTCAGCCTTGGCAGGGGCTGAGAGTGGCCTCCTGGGAAGGGGGGGCGGGGAGATGGCGGAATCTGCAGGGCTGGGGGAGGGGAGGGGACGCAGCTGTGGGGGTTGTAGTGGCTGAATCATTGCAAGGTCCTCGGTAAGACCTGAGAGGCAGGCTTTAGCTTTCAGTGGGGAGTGGGAGTGAGAACTTCAGGAACACTTTGTTAACCAGCAATTTCCTTTCCCTAATAAACGTCCTTAATTTCCCATAATTGAAGGAGAAAGCACCAGAGGTCAGCTGATGAAGCTTTAATTTGGGTAGCATGGAAGGGAGCAGCCAGAGACCAATTACTCTGTCATTTACACACATTCCATGATGAACTCAGAAAGCAGGCTGGACCAGAATTCCCCCCAGGCAAGGGGCACCCCCCCTTTGCCCCCCTCCCCAGACAGCAGCGCTTCCTGGGCACACAGCAGCCAGTCCTTTCCCCGGGGCCTCCATATCCCTGCTTCTGAAATTAGTTACCAGACCACGTGACCTCGGGAGCCTTCCAGCACCAGTGTTGTGTGTCTAGAAAAGCCATCTGTTCCTTTGCTGGTTTTACTGGAAATAGTCCACACAAGTTTACTGGGTGAGTGTCCATTTGCTCTGACCCTGTACCTGTGGGACCACACAAGGCTGAGGGGTGTTCTCCACCTGCACAGGCTGGCTGTCCACACCTGGGTATTGGGAAATAGGTTACCGGGTCACCGGGGCTTACCACGTGATAACCAGCACCAGGGCACGGTTCAGAGAAGGGAGGTCAGCAGGGTGTCATTGCTAGGCGGGTGTCAGGGTGAAGAAGAAGAGAGGCCCAATGCAAGGTCAAGGCTTGACCGAGCCTCTTGTTGTGTGACGTTGGGTGCTGGGTCCCCTCTCTGGTGGTGCAGAGAGGCCTGGCTTGGAAGACTCCTGAGGTTCCCCTGGCTCCTGGCAAGAGGGGAAGTTCAGAGGCAGGGAGGATTACACAGTGCCCCGTGCAGAGTGTGGGGTGAGACTGGCTGGAATAAAGTGGAAGTGAGTGAGGTGAGGTGGGACTCCAGGCTGGGGCACCAGCAGGGCTGGGTCATGAAGGGCCCAGAGACTCGGTTGAGGCAGAAGAAAGATAAGGATTGGGGGCAGGTTTAAGGAGGGTCACAGCACTGTCTCCTGTTTTCTTTGGTGACTCTAGAAGGTGTCCCAAGAGCCTTGGGCACAAAGCTGGCAAGCCATGGGGAAAGGGATGAAAGTGAGGAGGGGGACGGGCTGCGTGCGGGCTGAGGGGTGATCTAGCCCACGTGGTGACCTCCGTTCTGTACCCTCCCGTCCAGGGATGTGGGGCCTGGTCAACAACGCGGGCATCTCCACATTCGGGGAGGTGGAGTTCACCAGCATGGAGACCTACAAGGAGGTGGCGGAAGTGAACCTCTGGGGCACCGTGCGGACGACAAAATCCTTCCTCCCCCTCATCCGAAGGGCCAAAGGTGAGTTGGAAAGGGACCTTCCTCCTCACCCCTGGACCCGCCCCACCTTTCCATCTTTGCTCAGAATGGGAATAGGTCTCAGCAGAGGCAACATCTCCCAGGGGCAGAGCAGGGCCTGTGGGTGGTGTTGCGCGGAGGAGGCGTGGCCTGGCAGGCGGAAGGGACGTGTGGTTTTCAGAAAGTAGAGCCCTCTCTGCAGCAAATCCCACTCTGGGAACCCAACCTGGAGGAGTCGCTACCCTTGCGCACAGACACCGTGCCCAAACCACGTTAGGTAGCCAGTGTAAGTAAACAGCCTAGAAGTCACCGAGTCAGGTGTCCTCCCCAGAAGAGGAAATAACTGTGGCAAAAAGGGGAAGACCCGTGTGGTCTACCCCGAGCTCCCAGCAATGGCAGGATGGGCTCGGAGCGTGCTGTGGGGCTTCAGAAGACTGCAACCGTTCGGTGACCTCTAACAGAGGTTTCTGAAAGGAGCCTCCCTCACTGCCCAGGAGGGGGCTGTGCCTTTCCTGGGTGCACTCCCAGAGTGAGTGGGTCCCAGGTCAGCCTGGGCTGTCTGTCCGTCTGGGCTCCGCCTCTTCCATGCCCCCAGGGCGGGGGGAAGCTGTGGTCTCGCACACCCAGCCTGGGCCTGTGGGAGGCCTCTTGAGGTCATCACTCTCTCCCAGTGCCCAAGACTGCCCACATGTCCCAGCCCTGAAGTCAGGTCCAGAACCCTGCCCCTGCCCCTGCCCCTGCCCTTCCCGGCTTGCCAACAGAGCACTGCCAGGTAGTAGCATTTTGGGGGGAAATACAATGGGAGAACGTGGGAGGTGAGATGCAGCTTCGTTGTGTTTTGTGCGTTTGACTGTGCCCTCCTGGTATGCAGCTCTGCTTCTCACTCATTTCTCCTCCCCTGACCTGCCCAGCACAGCTGGCTGCCGGGAAAGTGCCAGGGATGTTGATACTGATGTGTGTGGGTCTGAGCTGGTCTTGACTATGAATGAGAAGGCCCTCGGACCTTGCATGGTGCAGGCTGGGCCCCAGCCTGGCAGGCAGCACCCTCAGTACCAGGGGCCAGGTGGCCAGGTTCTAGCCAGGTCTCTGGAAACATGCCAGGCCCCAGGCCCTCTGCCACCACCATCCCCTCACCCCCCAGGCAATGCCCCCTGAGCAGTGTGCTTGCTGTCTTCCCCTGTAGGCCGTGTGGTCAACATCAGCAGCATGCTGGGCCGCATGGCCAACCCGGCCCGCTCCCCGTACTGCATCACCAAGTTCGGGGTGGAGGCGTTCTCCGACTGCCTGCGCTACGAGATGCACCCTCTGGGTGTGAAGGTCTGCGTGGTGGAGCCGGGCAACTTCATCGCCGCCACCAGCCTCTACACCCCCGAGCGCATCCAGAGCATCGCCAACAAGATGTGGGCTGATCTGCCCGAGGTGGTGCGCAAGGACTACGGCAGGAAGTACTTTGACGAGAAGCTCGCCGCCATGGAGACCTACTGCAGCAGCGGCTCCACCGACACCACCCCCGTCATCGACGCCGTCACCCACGCCCTGACCGCCAGCAGCCCCTACACCCGCTACCACCCCATGGACTACTACTGGTGGCTGCGGATGCAGGTCATGACCCACATGCCTGGAGCCATCTCCGACCGGATCTACATACACTGAGGAGTTTCTAGTGGGCAGGAGGGAAGAGGAGGGAGGGAGTGAGGGAGGGAGGGAAGGGGGAAGGAAGCAGCCTATATAGTCACCTCTTCATTACCCACTTGTGGATTGTCCACCATCCCAGGAAGACCCACTACCCGTTTGAATATCAACAGAAATGGGGAGCCCACCCTGACTCCGGTACACCGTGAATGGCTTGGTCTCTTCCACTGGGTACGGAGTGGTGGGCAGGGCCCCTAAACTTCAGGGCAAACTTGGTGCATCTGTCTTTCTGGAGTTGATTTCATACGAAGATTTGGGGGAAATATCTTTATATTAAAAACAGATTTATTATAAAACAGAAACTAATCTTTTACATTTTAAGCCAAAACCCCATTCAAAAGATGTATCTCGTTTGATCTTTTAAGCCAGCCTCAGGAGGAAGGGAACAGATTCTTTTCTTTTGAACACAAAGAATTTGCAGCCCAAAGAGGATACATGAGTAGTCCTTTGACCGCTTGTGAATGGTCCAGGTCATGTGTTCCTGTCCCCTGAGGCATCCTTGGCAGGAGCTATGGTGCAAAGGCCAGGCACTGTGGCACCCTCTCCCCCAGGGTGGGGCGAGTCTCTGTCTATCTCATGTGGTGTTCACACTCACACACACAGTTGTGCATTCACACACACACACACACATAACTGTTCTTTGAGGCTCAGGGTGGCCTTCATTGATGGTTTGCCTTCCTACTGTGGTCTTTTCTTTAAAGAGCAATTTATTGATTTTTAGAGAGAGAGGAAGGGAGAGGAGGAGCCAGAGAGAAACATCGATGAAAGAGCACAACATTAATTGGCTTCCTCCTGCATGCTCCCTACCAGAGATTGAGCTCACAACCCAGGCATGTGTCCTTGACCAGGAATCGAACCCAAACCTCCTGGTACCACACAGGCGAGGGCTGTTGGCCTTATTTTTAAGTAAGAAGTCAGGTCACTGGTAGGCTGTCTTCACCATTTCTTGGAGTTGGGTTTGAAGGTTGCTCTCCTTGAAATTTCCCAGGGCCTGGATGTTCAGATCTAAACCAGGAACTACCCTCCTCCAGGTGGCTGCAGGCCTAGGACAGGGTCCTGACTGTCAAGCCTCGCCAATCACAGTCCTGCACTTCTGTCCTCCCTGGAAGGGCCATTCCTGCCACGAGAGGGCGCCCTGCACCCACTGCCGGAACATCCTGTGCTCCAGGCTGGGAGCTTCCACTCAAGACTGAGGTCTCTCAAAGGGTTTGTGATCCCCACTGGCACAAAGACACAAGGCCCTTTAGCAACAGTGTTCCCGCTGCCCTGGTAGCTGTCTGGCTTAAATGTGGAGCTGATGTTAGGAGAAGGCAGAAGAACCTTGGCAGCTGGGACCCCAGGAAAGCAGATCCCACAACGAGCAAATTCACCCTGCCTTTGCGCCTTTTCCCCTGTCTTCAACCAGGGATGCCCTGTCCAGCTCCCTTCCGCAAGGTGAGGCCGAGACAGTGAGGGCAGGGATGACTGTGAGGGCAGGCAGGTCTGAAATTCCCCAGAGCCCCGAGAGGACATTTGATGGCCATCATGTTTACATAACAATAAGATCCTTTTGTCTCAGAGCTTGCCTTTCAGAATTGCATTTTTATACCTTTTATTTTCATGATTAATTTTTAAAAAAATATTTTTATTGACTTCAGGTAGGAAGGGAATGGAAGAGATAGAAACATCAACGATGAGAGAGAATCATTGATCGGCTTGCCTCCTGCACACTCCCTACTGGGGACTGAGCCCGAAGCCTGTGCATGTGCCCTTAACAGGAATCGAACCTGGGACCCTTCACTCTACAGGCCAGTGTTCTATCCACTGAGCCAAACAAGCTAGGGCTCATGCTTAATTTTATTAAAGGAAAAGGAATGCACGGAGAGCTATGAACTAGCAAGTGGGGAGATGGTCTCAGCAGGAAAATGAACACTGGAGAAGCTGCCTCCAAGTCTGCTGGGGTCTTCGAGAGAAAGATTGAACCGCTGGGCTGGCCTGCAGGCTGCCTGAGTTTTAATTTTTGTCCCTGTGATTGAAAACCCCAGAGAACCTCCCCTCCAGATACTCTCAGTGCTAATTAAAACCTCACATCTACCATTCTCGTTCTGGCAGCTTAGTGCCTGCTGAGGTGCAGAGTCTGGTTTTGATCTTCACAAGAGCTGGCTGAGGTGGGCAGCACAGAGATGGTGTTCCCAAGGGGGAAGTGATTTATTAGTGTCACAGTCCCCGGAAGGCTGCTGTTCACCATCACTTACCCCGTGGCCCCAACGAAGTGGGTCAGGGCCAGCAGGCACCTAGGCCCTCACTGACGGTCTGCAGAGAGCCGCCCCTGCTTGTGGGGGTGCGGGGAGAGACGAAACCTTCCAAAGGCTGCCACCCGGCTCTCCCTGTCCAGTCCTACTGTCCAGGCGCTGCCTTGGATAGGAGCATTGTCTTCAGCATCCACCCCCTGGAAGGATTCCCTGGGTTACTGAAGGAATGTTGATGTTTCTTCCACTGTCTCAGGCCAGTAGGACTAGCCTGGGCCCCTTGACGTCCACTCCCGTCTCCCAGTCGGCAGGTCTCTAGGCCAGGGACCAAGCATTCATGATCTCATTTGATCTTCCTCAGGGTCTGCGAGGCTGGAGAGGGTCCAGCACCCTCTGCTGGTCCTGCTCTGCACCCCTGCGGAGAGACCTTCAGCCCCGAGCTCTCAGTCCAGGGCCTCAATTGGTGCCTCAGGCAAGAGGAGGGAAAGCAAGTAGACAAAGCCTCTAACTGTGGGAGGGGCCTCAGGCAAGGCTCAGCTTGGGCCCCAGACTTTGGCCAGGAGAACCTCTGTCCGTGGGTCCCATGGCCTGCTGCCTTCAGTCTGCACTGACCTCCTGACAATGCCTTGCTACAGAGCGCATGTGCCTGACATTCCACCCTGGGCCAAGAGGCACTGTGAGCAGGTGACAGGCTGCCTGGCCTTTCTGGCCACAAGCTGCTTGGGCTTGCCTCTGCTGCCCACAGCAGGGGCCCTGCCAAAGATCCCCCCTCCCCATCCCTGTGTGGCCTGCGCATTTCCTGTATTTCAAACAGGGTCCAGCTCTGCAAAGCTGGGCAAACCTGGTGCAAGTGTGGGCATGAGTAAGCAGGACTCCTCTTCCCCTCTCTTCCCCCCCAGCTCAGGTGACACCAGGCTCAGGCTGCCAGGTAACAACCAGGGACATCTGGATAGGAGAGCATATTACACAGCCAGCACATCCCTTCCTCTCCACCGATTCTCACAGCAGCCCTGGGAGGGAGGGAGGAAGGGAGGGTGGAGCCAGAATCTCATTTTATACCTAAGGAAACAGACAACTCTAAGTCTCTCGCCAAGTGAGGGATAGAGCCGGGTGGCCAAGCCAGATCTAACCTGCAGCCTGGAGCTGGTGATGCATGAAAAGCAGGGCAGATGGTACCAGGATCTAAAATAAGAAGGGGGAAAAATACCTCCGTTATGTAACTGCAGGAAAAGTCTGGAAGCCCGTGCACAGGAACAGCCACAGAGTGCTGCCACATGGGCCAGCTCCTGCTCCCCTCCTGTCTCAGGGCCCTGGGTGCCGCTCCTTAGGAGAGAATGTGCGGGAGGCGCCCACCAGCGCCCTCCAGTAGGAACTCTGCCATGACTGGGCTAACACTGCCCCTGTCAGGGGCATTTCTGAGGGCGTTAGGGACACTGAAACCCAAACCTTGGACAGAATGATTCTGGAGTTGCCCCCAAAGGGCTCGAGGGCTAATGAGCCCAAGGCTCAAGTATCCTCAGGAGGAGATGGAACAAGGAGGGCTTGTGGGGCCGAGTGCTCCAGTGGAGACCAAACAAACAAGCCCCGAGCACCATAGGCCTTCCTGGGGTGTGCAGGCACTGGAGAAGGTGGTTTCCGAGTGGTGGCCTCAGAGATATAGGGTAAGCACCAGGGACTAGGGCTGGGAGAGGCTGCTAGGACCCCCAGAACCTCCGAGAAGGAAAGGGGGAACTTAGCGTCCTGGGAGATGGCCAGGGACGTGCCAAAGATTCCAGGGACCAAGAACGCATTACGTCCTCAGATGCCATTTGCTTGGTGGGGGAGAAATTATCCAAAGACTGAGCTGAAACCTACCACCTCTAACAACCCTATGGCACTTGGCTATGACTGGGACCCACACAGAACAATTTAAATATTCTCACTGGAGATTTTGGAAATGGCCAGGTCAGGTCAGGGATCCAGGTCCTCATTCGACAAGGTTTCCATACTCCTCACTGACTGAACAGGAGGTTTCAGCTGCGGTCATCTCAGCCCTCATTCCTGATGACTCACACCAAACTGAGGGGCCCCCTGAGTCCCCTCACGCGGCCAAGAACTTTGAGAGGTTTTAATGCCTGCAGGGAGCGGCTGACAATCCTCACACACATGTGCCCTTCACAACCAACCACATGTGCTAACAATTGCCTCTCATCTGGTCCTCATAAAGAGCTTATGAGTTAGGCAGGACCGTGTTCCCATTTTACAGATGAGGAAACGGAGTCTCGGAGGTCAAGCGGCTTGCTCAAGGTCAAAGAAAGTGGGAGAGCCAAGACAGAAACCCAGGCCTTTTCCAGGACCCCTTCCTTTCTCCCCAGCCGGTCTCAGTCTCCCTATCAGGGGCCTAGAGCTGGGCTGCCCTCTGTCCAGTCAGAGGCTGGCCATGTAGCCTGTGAAGTGTGGGGAGCATTAAATTAATGCTTTCCAAAAATCGGGACTTTTTTTTAAATGCTTCGGGACTCGGGACAAATAGTAAAAAATAGGGGCTGTCCCACCAAAAGCGGGACGTCTGGTCACCTTACATTAAACTCAACTTTCTCCTGGCCCCAGGATTGCAAAGAGCAGCTGAGCCTTTCCTGGACTGCCCTGCAGCGTGTTGGCTGTGTCCGTGGGACCTTGCAGGGGCCTGGGCACCGATGGAGGCTTTGGGTGAAGCGTGCAGGGTCAGGAGGCATTCCCAGGACTGCGGCTGAGGAC